GTTGGTGTGGAGCACCCACAATTTCGTTGTCCATATATATTATGACAGTAAAGGGCTATTCTATTGTATTCTATTCTAATATTGTATTTGTATGACATTAATAGAGCAGAGTTACCTGTCCATAAAAATAGATGGTATAATTGTCTTTCAAGGAGCTACTTTTTATTTTCGGACTTTGAGTACATTTCAGAGATTGTGCTTTTTTACTTTCACTTGAGTAAAGAAGTTTAATCAGTACTTCAGCGTTTACTGGAGTATTTTCAAACACAAGTATCTGTACTTCTACTTAAGTACAGACTGTATGTACTTTTGCTACCTCTGCTGAGATCACGTTGCTCTGGGACACACATCCATAGTTCCACCTTGTGTTTATATTTCAGTCAAGCTAGCAAACGATACCCAAATCCGGCTAGAGCCTTCAAAATAAAAGTCTCACAGCTCTAAAATAGATTATAAAACTCCGCAGTTAAATGGTCAGATAAATGATTGTCGTCGCTATATGTTAGATGTGAACCAAACACTCATAGGTAAGATTGAATTCCCACTCTAATGCCCCTGTTTTCGTCAACAAGCTTTACTTAGCTATGTAGTTAATATTAACCGGACACAAATTGTGAAGTGATGGCGTCACAGCGGGTAACTTGACAATTGCTATCTTGGCGATAAGGAAGTTTATCTTCACGTTTCCGGACTAAATCCCAATTTATTTAACTCGGGGGTATGTTCATAATCTCATTAGCTATTTCTGCTATCGGCATGTACCTCTTGAGGTGAGGTTGCGTTTTAACAACGTGTTTGTTAGCCAAACAAGCGTAGCGTTAGCTAACGTTGCCTTGGTGCATATAGCTAGCATAGTGGATATTTTGTAATTTTACTTTAGGCTAGCTAAGTGTTCAGCGTACTGTAATGGGAGATGACAGAGCCATCACTCAATAGAATAACGAGCGGTATGCAAAGGTATCCTTAGCAAGTAGCTCCGAGTGGCTTCTAAGTGTAACAAGCTAACTATGCTATCGCATGTGTGAAGTGAGCACAGCATCCTCCATTGTTCATTCACTCCTCCAGAGCTGATAGTGTAAAGCTATGCCTGAGCTATTTTCCTGCTTAACCTTGAAAGCTGTGTTTGTTACAACTTAAATTTTAATTATATTAGTTTATTATGAGTTTAACTTATCGACTAACTCGAGCTCCAGAGGTGTCCGTGGCTCTTTTAAACATGCAGGAGAATAACAGATTATGAATACTACTAATCTGACCTTTCATCATGCCAGTTGTTTTTGTATAACCGTTAATCTAACATTAAACTCACATCAGAGAGACAAGACACGATTTACCGTCCACACTTTGTTGTTAATCAGACTGTTGAGCCTCCTATCAGACACCTGGAGGAGCTGAAGCACAGCAGAGACCTCAGAGCAGCTTGATACCTACCGACACAGTGTGTGAAGAATGTCTTCACCCATATACTACAATCAAGACAGTGTGACACGCTTCAAGAAAAGAAAGGCTCGTTTCTCTTTCAGTGAAGTCCACATATTGCTGGATGAAGTTAGGAAGCACCGTATGGTTGTTGTGGGTATGTATTAGCTTATCAGTTTTTAATTCAGCTCTTTCTGAAAAGATTGTGTCTGGAGAATGAATAAATGAGTGTGATGTGGCTGGTCATGAAAAACGTTACCAGCAGAGGTAATTGAAACATTTAAATGTTCAAAGTATGCAAGAACTGAGTGCGAATTTCTGAATTATAATAACTTTAATCTTGTGCAGTCACTGACAGTGACCGGATTTCTTTTTTCATTCCCAAAGGCAAATTCAATCGTGGCGTGCCAACAGACATGAAAAAGCGCACATGGGCAGAGATTACTGCACGGGTCAATGAGATTGGAGAGTGCCAACGTGAGGTCATAGAAGTCATCAAGAAGTGGTCTGACCTAAAGTGTGACACAAAACGGAAAGTGGCTGCTATGAGGTCGGGGACAGTGCCCAACAGAGGCCTCAACTCACGCCTTTCCCGGGATCTTAACCAGACGGAGAAAATAGTCCTCCAGATACTGGAGATGGACGATGAGGAGCAGAGCTCCGGCGACTTCGGCCCGCTGGGGGAAGACGACGATGTGCCAGAGGAGGAAGAAGAATTGGACGAGGACGATATGATTGCAATGCAGAGCTCTCCTAATGGCGGGTTGGACATGACACCTATGCCTCCACCTTCTTCCTACAAGATAGGACAGTCAGGTAGCAAAGGGGGTCACATATTGACCTCATTTCAGTCTAAACATGAGTGCATTGTGAACATGCACACACGTCCTATAAATTATTGCATGCAGTGTCTTTTTTCACATTCCTGCAATTAGTTTTATATGAACTGTTAATGTTGCAGGGGACTCATCACAGCCATCTTTTGATGTGCAATATGAGGTGCCTCCAGCAGAAGGTGAGCTGTCAAGAAATTGCTTTTCTGGTTTATGTTAGTACTTAGAAAATGCTGATGTGTCTTATTTTTCTCAGATACTGAAAATGCATTTGGAGACTCGGACGATGAACAAAGAGACGATATGCTTCCTTCAACTCAGACGGCAAAGCCAAAAGATGATCACCAAGCTAACAACAGCACCCAGAAACAAGCGCAACCTCACACGTCTACTGGAGCGCCGGCATCTGCGGCTGCGTTTCCGGCGCCCGGTCAGTCCTCGCAGAGCACGAGAGACAGCATGCTGCACAGTGCGTCGCTGAGCCTTCAGGAGCAGCACGCCACCAACATCCTGCTGGAGACTGTGTCGCGCTCCCTGGAGCTTCTGTCGGAGTCGGTGCAGCAGCTGGCAGAGACTCAGCAGGAGTTTGTGCGTGAGTCGCTGCAGCTCCAGCGGGAGACGGTGCAGGTGCTCAGAGACTTCACAGGTGGAGCCATCGCACTCATGCATGACAAACTGAATGGACGGCCGGCGTTATAACAGCAGTGACACATGGAGGTGATGGTCTGTTATCTCACTGACGTCATACATGACCTTCAGGTGCAGGAACTTCACCTGTGGTTTTTAAATCAGCAGATTTTCTGTGGTTATATTTTAAAACTATTGGTAGACTCATTGTATCGTTGGAATTACTGTTTGTGTGGTTATATGAAAGTGGATTGCAAAAACAACCAATATTAGCCATAAAGAAAGAACCTGGAGAGTTTTTCGTTTTGCTACTGACAGTGAGACTCCACCACATTTTCTATTGATAAGACAACTTGTTTAAAGCCTCTGAAAAGTTCTCAGAATGCGTTTGTGTGTCCTTATGTTGTACGTTTCCCTTACTTTATGTCTGGAGATTATCACGTGTACTGTAATGGTGAGTGGATGTCTGCACTTGACCATTATATGGTCTTTATGTCTGAGCGCTAACTGTGGTGTGTGTTAGATACTTTTAAAATACAAGTAAGTATATTATTTGTGATTGATTTTGTTTTTTTACATTGCAAACATGAACACTTGAATATGAAAATTTCACTAAGTTCTTTTAAAAATATAATAAACTGGTGTATTTAAACAGAACATAAGCCAGCCTCTGAGCTGTGATCTATAACATGCAAACACTCTACAATTTCCAAGTGT